ACAGTCTGGTGTGTGGAGAGTAAGTCTAAAAAGAGTGGTAGATTTACTTACTCTTGCCCCATCGTTTCCAGCTGTACCTTCAGAACCTTTCTCACCTACGCCACCCTATGGAAAATACCCAGAAAGCCTCAGTTACAACACTGAATGCTGAGGAGTTCTCACTCTGGAACAACTACAGTATTAAGATTCTACTCAGCACATTGGAAATAACTGGACTTACTCTATCACCCTTGGGGCCAGGCGTTCCAGCAATCCCTCTTTCTCCAGGCATACCTTGAAGACCTGGTGGGCCTGGATCACCAGGTGTCCCACTAGGGCCTGGGCTTCCCTGAAACAAATAAAGAACAAGATGTTGTCTATTCATCTGAAAAGCATCTTTGTCTCTAGGCTGCAGAACATGCTGTGCCTGTGTTGAAGTCTCTGAGGTATGGTTTTAAGTAATCATTTTCTCTTAAATTTGGACTTCATTCATGTCCAAATACTTTACTTTTCCCGCTGTGTTACTCAGGAAGTGCAGTTGTCATACTGTAGTTTTTCCAAATACCTTAGTAACTACTCAGTGCATATTGGAAATGAGAGCAGGTAAAAAAAAAAGAAGCTTGAGCATCTTTCTACCTTGACCTCGGTACCGCATGGGCTACACAAAGCAGCTACAAGGCAGAAGTTGCCAGGGGTAGGGATGGTTTATTCATGCTTTGCTTCCCACAGCTCAAGTCTGTTACAGGTCCCTCACTACTAGAGGCACTCCCTACTTGGGGTGACCTTCCTAGGCCTAATTAAATCAATTGCAGGTGAAAGAAAGCCATGGCATTTTCAGCATTTTCTTTTAAACTCTCAACACTGCCAAGTGTCTTTGTGTAAACTGACATGGGTCTTAAAACATTGATTGAGGATTTTCTGAAGTTCAGAAATGTCTTTGCCCAGTTCTACTTAGAAACACAAAAGCCATTTTAAACTTCAGACCTATATAAATTAATACAAAATGTGTTTTCTCAACATGTAAGCATCTTGCAATCATTAATATTGTTATACTGCAATAACTTCTATCTCCTTCTAGAATCCTTATATAATCAAGATACCTTTCATTAAAAGAAACCTCTTATAATAAAAAAGGTCTCTCCTTTATGTTCATGCCAATGAGCAGAATTATGCATTACATCACTGCAGCAACACAAATCTCCATTCAGCTCACCTTGGGACCATCAGGACCATGACCTCCTGCCATACCCTTTTCACCTGGGAGTCCTGATGCACCTGGTTCTCCCCTTTCCCCTGGATTACCACGTTCTCCCTAGAAAATGTAAAATCATTACTTATTTAGAAGTCAGGGTACCATTCTGGTAGACAAAATCCTAAATAAACCATAAGTGCAGCACAGCTATTTGAACAAAGAGCCTGTGAACAAATTCTAAGAGAAGTGATCAAACAAAAACCAGATTTATGCTTTTTTATTTTTTTTTTTAAGGTAGGGGAGATAGCATGTTGCTTGTCAAAATAAAAACTGTCATTTCACAGCTGTAAACCAAATAATTTAGCAGCTAGTACTCAACACCACTTCCCAGCCCACAAAACCATTAAAGGTGGTAGGTTTTACATGAACTATCTTAAAACTTATGTATGTTTACAACCATTTTGTTGGTGGGAAAAAAGGTCAAAAATTCATTTTAGCTGTTGAAGTTCATATTGTATATCAACTTTCAACCTCAGAAAACTGCTATGAATTTTTAAACTCTAGAAAGTAAAGAAAATACTTACCCTAGGGCCCAATGGACCAACAGCTCCAGGATCCCCAGGCACACCCTAAGCAGAACAGAATTCACCATTAGAATGAAAGTATTATTCATAGCCCTATAGCTATATAAATTAGAGATAAACATTTTCATTTCTAAATCACTGTGAAGGTAGATGGCTAGTTCTGAATATTATCTTTCCATGACAAGAGAAGACAGTCCAACTCAGTCCAAGAAGATGGTCAGAGTCTAGCAATTATTTTATGCAAAAGCAGTTCTCAGGCAGCTTGCAGGCTATATCACTACATATTTCTAAAAAGAGTGGGAAATTACATTACAAAGAGAAGGTAAAAATACTTTATGAAGTGAATTATACAGAAATTACCTGATCACCTGGCTTTCCTCCCTCACCTGGAGGACCTGGCGGTCCAGGCAAACCCTGTAAAAAAGTAGATAAGATGGTTATTAACATGACAACAAGTTATGTAAATCCAGGCTTAACTGAGACATCAAGAACATAAATGTAGTATTATACTCAGTGCAAGAGTATGCCCTCAGAGATCCCCAAGCAAAATAGTTACATGAATATTGCACCAAAGTGTTTTCCCCCCTCTAAATGAGATGACAGCCTTTCTTTAGCATTTGTAGGACATATGCACATCAGCCCTAAAAATAAAGTTCTCTGTTAACAGAGATTGACTTAATTAATACTTCATCATCAAAACAATTCTTTTGCTCCATATTTGGAACATCTTTGGAAAATCTCCAAATTAAAATATCATTGCCTTAGTTCTGAAGTTGTGTTTTGCTATGTATCACTTGATTTAATTTCTCCAGTTTATGCTGATGAAGACATGGCTGTTTATTATTTTTCTTAACCAAAAAAAAAAAAAAAGATGCACATACCTGAAACCCTGTAGGCCCTGGAGGGCCTTGTTCTCCTCTTTCTCCTGCCAAGCCCTACAGAAAAGAAAGCAGTAAGTATACAATAGAGGAATATAAGCAGACTCCATAATTTTTCTTCTCTCTGAATATATCTATTTTAAATTATATGTTTGTTTATGATACATTTTCACTTACCCTAGGCCAAGATATACCCTATCTAAAAGACATGATAAGATATATCCTATTTCTTTAAGATCCTCCCCCAAAAACATCTGTGCTGAGAGGAAAACACTGAGTTCCATTGAAACCAAAGCAGCTAGGAGAATGAACTATATGAAAATTTTGCTCCTTGCACTATTTTTTTGTAAAGGAACTAGATATTAATATATCTGGATTTTAATACAAAGTGTTCCATTTTCCTAGGACATCTTTTTCTTTAAATGTTCTTAGGATTTTTTGTTTAGAATCAACAAGTGGCAATAAGATAGACAGAAATAGAAGCAGAAAGAGTAACAAATAGACAGAGTGATGGGCAGGCAGGGAGGGTGGTGAAAGTTGACTTACTGCTGGGCCAACAGGACCAGAAGGACCAACTTCACCATCTTTACCAGGGGCTCCCTAAATGAAAAGGACATAGGAAGAAGTCTTTTATAGTGAACATATATAACAGGAAAGCATTGTTTTCTGTAATCACTGCAAAGAACAGCCACACTCACTCTCTGTCCTGGGACACCTGCATTGCCTGCTTCTCCAGGCTTTCCAGGATCACCCTAATTTGCAGAAACAGAAGTTACTATTTTTAGATACTGTTTTTATCCATTAAAATATACACAGATGTTGGAAGTTAAACAGATATTGGGCATCAGGTGCCATACTCACACTACTACCCTTTGGGCCAGGAAGGCCCATGCTGCCTGGCTGACCTCTGATTCCTATTGAACCTGCCGGACCTGGACGTCCGTCTTCTCCAGGAGCACCCTACAGAGGTAAAGCATTTTTCACTCTGAATTTTATATATATTTATTCACATGAACACATTTACCCCTAGAAAATGTTTGCATATATATAAAAAATAACATTAACCTGGTTTGGTGTTACAGTTATCAGTCAAACTTTATTTTTTCCTTAAAGAGACTCTTAGAAAAGATACTTAGTTCAAAATGGTTTAAAAATATTGCAGTAGCTGCTAAACAACAGGCACTGCTACACAGATAAAACTAAAGGAACATTATCTACACTACTTTTGGAGTTGGGAATCTTTAGTGAACAGTTAAAAGAGAAGATGAACCTCCAGAAATCAAGAAAAGTTAATAAAAGTAATTTCGTTGAGTTGGGACCTTTGAATTACTGTAGCATTAACTGGAAGGACTAATTTTTGTGTTGCTTACCAAGGGGCCAAGTTTTCCTTCAGGGCCTTGAACACCTGGATTTCCTGTCAAACCCTAAAAGTGGGAAAAATATTGGTGTTAAGGTTGTGCATATAATTCTAGAATAATAGAGAAACGTAAATAAATCCAAAATATATGCTCAGTTTCTGCCACACTAGAAACTTCTCTTTATCAAAGGTCTTCATCCTCATCTTTACTTCACAGCTTTATCCTGCACCATCTTTGATCTTCTCTTTTCCTATTCTCCCTCTTCTTGCTTTTACACCTCTTGAGCTTACCACAGGCTCATCTTTATTTCTGCCAACGTTATGCAGTGATCTATATCACATCTGCTGCTCCCTTTTTCTCTTTCTGTGATATTCCAAATTCTCCTCAAATATTTTTCCTGAAAGAAATCTCTAGATCACACGCACCTCTCAACTATGTAAGTTATCCATCATCAATTTAATGAATGTTTGCCTTCAGTTCAGGTTTTCCTCCTTCAGTTGCAATAGCTTGTCTCAATCAGGGCTATTTCTCTTTTTTAGAGACAAATGAAGAGTGTGCTTCCCAACATCAGCAGGA